GGGGGGCTCTCCCCGGCCATGGGGCCCATGCAGCCCCACAGCCCCTGCGATGAGGAGGAGGAGAAGGGCGCAGAGCGGCGGCGAGCGCGGCTCTAATCCCCTGCGCTATTATCAGAGCCCTAATCGGCTCAGGCGGCAGCGGGCAATTGGCTCAGCTGCAGTTGGGGTGCACCCAGCACCCCGGCCCCCAGCACCCCAAGGGCTATGTGACCCCCAACCCAGACCACGGCTCCGGGCTGGGGAGGTGCGTTTAGTGCCCTGTGGGTCATTGCTCTTTGGGCCCGTGATGCTCCTGCTGCCATCCCAGAGCTTCCCAGTGACATCCCAGAGCTTCCCGGGACCAGCAGCTTCCCAAAGGGAGTTCTGCCGAATCCCACTGTTGGCTCAACCCGGTTTGGTGCCGTCGTTTGGTCCAGGAGCCACCGGAGCCCAGGCTGGGCTATGGGAGGCTGCGCCCTGCCCAGTGAGCGCAGTGAGGAGGAGGAGAAGGAGAGCCAGGCAGGCTGGTTTGGGTACGGGATCACACACGGGATCATCACACATGGGATCCCACACGGGATCATAGAACACGTGAACCCATGCCAGTGGCTCCTGGAGCTCCCTCCGGCCACATCTCCCCATGGGCAGCTCCACGAGGTGTGGGGCCGAACGGGTCTGGGTACTGCTGGTGCCATCCCTCGCTCCCAGCACAAAGCAAAGCCCCGGGAAAACCTCGCCCAGGAGCAGCAGCAGAATCCCGGTGGGACGAGGGGGTTCCCGTGTGAACGCTGGGAAGCGCCGGGAATCCCCATCCCTGCCTGCAGCTGCCGGCTCGGGAACAAAGGTCCCTTTGGAAGGGCCCAGGGGATGTGCCCCAGCCTCCTCTAATCCCCCCGAGCCGGCCCCAGCCCCCTCCTCCTCCTCTTCCACCCCCTTGCGATAACAAAACCATCCCCCAGCGCCTGGCAACCGTCATTCAGAGGGACACAAAGGGGGCTGCAGCCACCGGGATGGGGCGTCCGATGGATGCGGACAGACGGGGACAAGGAGCATCCGGTCCCCCGAGCGACCCCAAGGCTCTCATGGGGCTGGTGGCAGCTCAACTGGTGCTCCCAATCGCCCCTCGAGGGACACGGGGGGGTGGGGGGAGAGCAGGGGCTGCCCCCCTGCCCCTCCATCCCTTCCCAGCCCTGCAGGGGATTGGGAACAAGCCGCCCCGATGCCATGGTGACAGCCGGCAGCCCCCCTGCCACCAGCTCGGCCTCATTACAGCCACCAGCCCCTTCCCCCATGCGGGCTGTGTCGGTAACCGGAGCTCCTGCAGCCGAGGGGCCCCGGTGCCAGGCTCAGGTATCAGCAGCCTGGCCCAGGTATCTGGTAAAACCAGTGCCTTGTGCTCACTGCCATCACCACCGGTCCCACGGAGCCAGCACAGAAGCAAAGGGGGAGAGACCCCAAAATTCATCTCCTCTGCCCATGGCTGGCTGGAACCGCAGTGATTTGGGATTAAAGGCTCCCAAGCGGGCACCATCCAGCCCTCCCCATGCAGAAGAGGTCGGTGCAGCCCTCCCCACTCCTCAAGGGATGCTCTTTGCCTTTACCTCCATGCTCGCAGGGATCCCTCAAGCTCTGCTGTAAATACCCGGTATATCCCAGTATATCCAGGAGCAGATCCCCCTCCCACGCCGCGCAGCCCTGCCCCGGAGCAGCTTTACTCCCATTAGTTCCTTCACCAAAATCCCATTCCCAGGATCAGCCTTCCGGCGGCAGCATCCCACCGTGCCCAGCACAACAAACCGGACGGGACAGCCGGGCCGGTTTGGGGTTGCCAAGCAGGAGGTGATGGGACCTGCCCATGGAGCTGCTCCCACCCTGCATCCCGGTACCCACATCCCCCTGCTCCGGGCATCCCCGGGGCTGCTGCACCCCAAGGAGACCCTGCTCTGCAGTGGGGACCCCTTTGGTCACCCCAATACATCCCGGAGCCGGAGGCAGCATCGTGATGGGGTCCAACGGCAGCAGCAGCCCCAAAAGTGGGGACCCCACAACCGCACCCCCCCACTCCGGGACTTACCGACGTACTCCGGGTCCACGCGGGGGGAGTAGAGCCCGAACTTGATGAAGATGGGGAGGACGAAGCCGAACCGGACCCACTCGATCACGTAAAGCGGGGGCCGGTTCTCGAGGGCTCCCGGGAGGCCGCAGCTCAGCACCGTGCTCTGCCCGACCCGCCCCACCACGGACCGGGGCTCGTTCTGCCCGGTGCCTGCGGGGACAAGGCGAGGGATGAGCCCCGCCAGCGGAACCACGTGCGCTGCCCCCAGTCCCGGTGCCGGGCCCGGTGCCGGTCTCTTACCGTCGGCGCCGGCGATGAGGCTGAGGACGGCGGCGCGCAGCCACCACCGCATAGCCCAGGTCCCCGCGGGTCGCCGGGGGCCGGCAGCCGCTCACCGGAGGCTCCGCCGGGCTCCCCGCGAAGAACCGGCCCCGGGCGGGGGGCGCTGCCGGTCCCGCCGCCCGCCGCTCCTCATGCCCGGCCCCGCTCGGCTCCGTTCGGTCCCCGCTGGGCTCGGTTCGGCTCCCCTCGGCCCTGCTCGGCTCTCCCCGTGCTCCGGCCGCCGCCGCCGCAAACAAACCCGCGGCGCCGGGAGGGGCCGGCCTAAGCCACGCCTCCCCCCCGCCCGTTGCCACGGCGACAGCCAATCGGTAGGCCTGAGCCTGGCGCTCCCCGAAGCAGCCAATGGCGGGGCGGGGAGGTGGGAGCCGCGGGGGCTGCTGGGAGATGTAGTTCGGCCACCGGGGCACATGGGCAGCGCTCGGAGGGCACTGGGGGCTACGGCGGAGACCCCGGGCAGAGGCTCGGGCCGTGCCAGGCTGTCCCAAGCCGTGCCAGGCTATCCCAGGCCATGCCAGGCTATCTCAAGCCGTGCCAGGCTATCCCAGGCCATGCCAGGCTGTCCCAAGCCATGCCAGGCTATCCCAGGCCATGCCAGGCTATCTCAAGCCGTGCCAGGCTATCCCAAGCCATGCCAGGCTATCCCAGGCCATGCCAGGCTATCTCAAGCCGTGCCAGGCTATCCCAAGACATGCCAGGCTATCCCAGGCCATGCCAGGCTATCTCAAGCCATGCCAGGCTATCCCAAGCCATGCCAGGCTATCCCAAGCCATGCCAGGGTATCCCAAGCCATGCCAGGCTATCCCAAGCCATGCCAGGCTATCCCAGGCCGTGCTGTGCCATCCCAAGCCATGCCAGGCTATCCCAAGCCATGCCAGGCTATCCCAGGCCATGCCAGGCTATCCCAACACATGCCAGGCTATCCCAGGCCATGCTGTGCCATCCTAAGCCATGCCAGGCTATCCCAAGCCATGCCAGGCTATCCCAGGCCGTGCTGTGCTATCCCAAGCCATGCCAGGCTATCCCAAGCCATGCCAGGCTATCCCAGGCTGTGCTGTGCCATCCCAAGCCAAGCCATGCCCAGCTCTTACCCACTGCACTGCATTGGCACCATGCTAAGCAATGCCGTGCTGTGCCACACTCAGCCATGCCAAGCCAAGCCTTGCCATTCCACGCCTCGCCCTGCCAAACCCTTCCCTGCCGTACCACACCGTGCCACGCTGGGTTATCGTGCCCTGTGTGCCATGCCAAGCTGTGCCATTCTTTGCCATGCCCTGCTGAGACTTTCCTGCTGTACCACACCACACCACGCCACGCATACCAAGCTCTTCCCTGCCATGCTGCACCATATAACACCCTGCAGAGCCATGATGTGCCATGCCGTGCCGTGCCGTGCCCGGCCGCACACGTGTAGGGGCCCAGGGCACCCCGTGAGCGCTGCCATGCCCCTGCTCTAATCCCATCCTAAACATGTCCCTGGCACAGAGACGGCCACCGGAGCTGTGTCCCCCCCCTCTGCGCCGCGCTGAGCCGGAGCTGGGCTGCCCGCCAGGCCGGGGGCTCCGGGTGCCCTCGCGGCACCGGGGCTGACCGGGAAGGGACCACCCCTGGTGCCATTGAGGAGCCGGCATCGAGCTCTGTGCTCAGGCCGTGTGCGGCAGCACCAGAGCACGGAGCCAGGGGGGGCTGGGGCAGAGCCCCCATCCCGACCCCCCCCCCCCCTCCCCGTGTTCCCTGGGGCAGGGGGGTCCCCGGTGCCCCCTGGCCCGGCCCGGCCTGGCCCCCTGAGCCTGGAGACTCTTGAGGACAGCGCTAAAGTAAGAGGAGTTAAAGGAAATAATTCTGCGCTTAAGCTGCTTTCCGGCCTCTCCCGGGCCCATGTGAGCCCGGCGGCTGCCGCGGGCTTAGGGCACGGTGCTGGCCCCTTGTCCCCATCATCCCCATTGTCCCCCCCCGTGCTCTGCTGGGACACCCCCCCCCTCCCAGCCCCTCATTCCCCAGGGAATGGGGCCAGGCAGAGCCAAGCTCCCCCCATCCAGCCCCACATCCCGGTGCAGCGGCACAGCCCATGGAGCCATGGGCATCGCCCATGGAACTCGGCTTCCTGCAGGGAGGTGGTGACGTTTGGGTGCTTCAAGGCACTCTATGGGGGTCCCGGTGCCCCCCCAGGCTGCCCCAGGGCTGGTTGCTGGCGTTCCCGGGCCATGTGCCGCGTGCCCGAGGACGGGGCCGGTGACACCTCTTGCACTTGGGATTTAAATGGCACCAAGGTTTAGGAGCGGCTGAGAGGAGATTTCCAGGATCGGACTTTGGGATGGAGATGCCTAAATTCGTCTAAGCTACACTTTAAGCATCAACGGCCTGCGATGGCCCCTGTGGTGAGGCCGGTGCCGGGCAGGATCCCGGCAGAGCCGCCGCTTCCGCATGGACAGACCTGGAGAGGAGCCACAGGAGAGTCCTTTAATGCAGGAGGAGGCATCGGAAGCTGGGAAAGACCCTTCCATGATTCGGGGCGCTGCTCCGGTGGCGGCCGCTCACGGCTCCGGTATTGTCCTCCCCAGCGCTGTGATGGGAAGATCCCATTGGAGCGCTGGGCAATTGGGAGCCGCAGCTCGGGGCTGGCAGCACCTACCCACGGCGCTGGCAGAACCGGATCACGCTTCCTCCTGCTCCCGCGTCTCGATGGAGCCGGGCCGCAGGCGCCGGATCTCCCGGATGGCATCGGCACCCTCCAGCTGCCGTTCCTCGGCCACGTAGCACGCCAGCATGGTACCGGTGCGGCCGTGCCCCAGCATGCAGTGCACGGCCACCGCCTGCGTGCCGGCACCGCGCCGTCAGCCTCGGCGTTGCCTCCGGTGCCACCACCCCCCCCCCCGGTGCTGTCCCCACCGTTACCTCCCCGCGGGCATTGGCCACCTCGACCAGGCGCAGGAAGGTCCGGATCTGCGCCGGCGTCGGAGGGGTGAAGTCGGGCACGCGGAGCCGGTGCAGGCGGATGCCGGGGCAGGTGCCGTGGTGCGGGGGGTCCCGCTCGGTCAGCGACACCAGTGCCGCACGCCCTGGCGCAGCAGGAACTCGTAGTGCGCCGGCTCCCGCGGCATGGCCAGCCCCGCCAGCCGGCCCCACGACACCCACGAAAGTTGGGCGGCTCCTGCTCCCCATCGCCGTGGGGACAGGGAATGGGGCGCTCCTTGGGGCCACAGCCCTGGGACCCACAACAGAGCCCCCCCCCTGCCCCCCGAGCCCTCAGTCAGACCCAGGGAACTGAAGGGAGCGCCAGGCAGACTTTGGGCAGATCCGCAGGCCCCCAGTCAGACCCCTGGGACCCCCAACCAGACCCCTGGGACCCCAACCAGACCCACAGAACTCTCAGTCAGACCCCCAAAGACCCCCAACCAGACCCCTGGGGACCCCAAACCAGGCCCCTGGGACCCCCAAGCGGGCCCTGGGACCCAAAAAAGACCCTGGGACCCCAAAACAGGCTCCTGGACCGCATAACAAGCCCTCGGACCCCATAACAGGCCCCTGGGACCCCCAACCCAGACCCCTAGGACCCTAAACCAGGCCCCTGGACCCCATAACAAGCCCCTGGGACCCAAACCAGACCCCTAGGACCCTAAACCAGGCCCCTGGACCCCATAACAAGCCCCTCGGACCCCAAACCAGGACCCTGGAGCCCATACCAAACCCCTTGAACCCATAACAGGCCGCTGGGACCCCAAACCAGACCCCTGGGACCCCAAACCAGGCCCCTGGACCCCATAACAAGCCCCTCGGACCCCATAACAGGCCCCTGGGACCCCAAACCAGACCCCTAGGACCCGAAAACAGGCCCTGGAACCCATAACAAGCCCCTGGGACCCCAAACCAGGCCCCTGGACACATAACAAGCCCCTGGGACCCCAAACCAGGCCCCTGGACCCCATAACAAGCCCCTGGGACCCCAAACCAGGCCCCTGGACCCCATAACAGGCCCTGGGACCCCAAACAGACCCCTAGGACCCCAAACCAGACCCCTAGAACCCCAAACCAGGCCCCTGGACCCCATAACAGGCCTCTGGGACCCCAAACCAGGCCCCTGGGACCCCATACCAGGCCCCTGGGACCCCAAACCAGGCCCCTGGACCCCATAACAGGCCCCTAGGACCCCAAACCAGACCCCTAGAACCCCAACAGGCCCCTGGACACCATAACAAGCCCCTGGGACCCCCAAACCAGGCCCCTGGACCCCATAACAAGCCCCTAGGACCCCAACCAGACCCCTAGACCCCAAACCAGGCCCTGGGCCCCATAACAAGCCCCTGGGACCCCAATCCAGGCCCCTGGACCCCTAACAGACCCCTGGGACCCCAAACCAGACCCTGGACCCATAACAGGCCCCTGGGACCCCAACCAGACCCCTAGGACCCTAAACCAGGCCCCTGGACCCCATAACAAGCCCCTGGGACCCCAAACCAGGCCCCTGGACCCCGTAACAAGCCCCTGGGACCCCATACCAGGCCCTGGACCCCATAACAGGCCCCTGGGACCCCAAACCAGACCCCTAGGACCCCAAACCAGGCACCTAGGACCCCAAACCAGGCCCCTGGACCACATAACAGGCCCCTGGGACTCCCAACCAGGCCTCTGGGACCCCAAACCAGACCCCTGGGCCCCTCAACCTGACCCCTGGAACCCCAGCCCAGGCCTCTGGACCCCCAACCATACCCCATAACAGACCCCCCGGACCCCCACCCAGACGCCCCAGACCCCTCAACCAGACCCCCAAGGCCCCACGCAGACCTCCGGGACCCACAGGCCCCCCGGTACCTCCCCATAGACCGTGGCCTCCCCCCCCCAGCCCCGAGCTCCCGGCCCCGCCCCGAGCTCCCGTTAGGCCGCAGCGCCAGGCCCGGCCCCGCGGCCTTGTCCCGGCCGCGTCCCGCGGAGCTCCGGGGGCAGAACCGGGTCCGTGGCCCCGCTCCGCAGTTACCGGAGAGAGCAGCGGCGGCGGCGGCGGCGGCGGCGGCGGCGGAGCGGGGCCGGGGAGCGGCTCCGAGAGCAGCGGCAATGGAGCGGAGCGGAGCGGGCCGGGGGGGGAAGCGGCGGTGGGGCCGCGGCGGGCGCTGGGACACGGGGCTGCCCCCCCCGGGAATACCGGGGGATACCGATCACTGCTAACCCGTTTGTTATTGATGAGACACCGGGGAGGGGGGGGTACAGCAGGGAATGGGGGACGCAGCCCCTGCGGCCACCGGGATGCATCGGGATGGGGTCGGGATCTGTAACCGGGTCCGTGGGTCCGGGGTGGGGGGGGGAGCGCTGGAGTCGGTGGAGCCCAAGCGGAGCTTCCCATCTCCGTGCTGACAGAGCTCCCATCTCCGTGCTGACAGAGCTCCCATCTCCGTGCTGACAGAGCTCCAATCTCCGTGCTGACAGAGCTCCCATCTCCGTCCCGACAGAGCTCCCATCTCCGTCCCGACAGAGCTCCCATCTCCGTCCCGACAGAGCTCCCATCTCCGTCCCGACAGAGCTCCCATCTCCGTGCTGACAGAGCTGCCGTCTCCGTCCCAGCAGACCTCCCGTCCTCCATCCCAACAGAGCTCCCGTCTCCGTCCCAACAGAGCTCCCGTCTCCGTCCCAGCAGAACTCCCATATACGTCCCAACAGAGCTCCCATCTCCATCCCAACAGAGCTCCCATCTCCTTCCCAACAGAGCTCCCATCTCCGTCCAACAGAGCTCCCACCTCCTTCCCAACAGAGCTCCCATCTCCGTCCCGACAGAGCTCCCATCTCCATCCCAACAGAGCTCCCATCTCCATCCCGACAGAGCTCCCATCTCCATCCCGACAGAGCTCCCACCTCCTTCCCAACAGAGCTCCCATCTCCATCCCACCCGGATCTCCATGGCTGTACCACGCAGATGCTCCCTCCCGGTGGTTGCAGAGGCGAGGGGGTGCTGGGACTGGGACACAGGGGGGTTTGGGACCGCTCCATCCCAGCGCCTCAGGCCCCCAGCGCCGCCCGGAGCCGCGGCTTCACCACCACATCCCCCTTGATGCTGTAGCTGAGGCTGCTCCAGGCCAGCAGCGCCGGCGGCAGGCGCAGGACTGGAAGGCCGCCCGCATCCTGTCGGGGCTCAGCACCGTGTCCCACAGGTACACATCGGCCAGCTCGCCCGAGAAGGAGTTGTAGACATCAAACCCCCCCCCGAAGGCATCCTGCTCCTGCCCCAGCAGCACGACCGCCTCCGGCCCCACCGCATAGCCCCGCTGGAGCCCCTTGCGTGGCCAGGGCTTCCCATCCAGCCAGAACTCGGCCATGCCGGTGCCCGATTCCCAGCCGGCGCAGACGTGCTCCCAGTCGCCGCGGCTCTCGGGGATGCGGAAGGTGACGAACTTGCCGCCGACGTAGAAGCGGTACTCGCCCGGTTTGGGCTTGAAGAGGAGGATCTCGTTGTCCTGCGCCTTGGTGGCGTAGGAGAAGAGGCTGTGGGGCCGCGTGAGGTCGGTGTAGGAGCGTAGGCACACGGTGAAGTTGAGCAGCGGCTGCTCTGGCTTCACCTGCAGCACCACGTAGGCATCGCTGGGGTCGTTCCGGAACACAAACACCTTGCGGTACAGGTCTGGGACACACACACACACACAACAAGGGGATGTGGTCCCCTCCGAGCCTTCCTCCAGCCACCCCTGGGCACCGCATCCCTGACATCCCCTCTGCTGATCCCAGCCGGCTCCAGCATCCTTCATCCCCGCTGGTCCTGCCTGACCCCATCCCCAGCATCGTCCCTACCTTCCTGTGCCCCGGTCCCCAGGAGCCCGGCCAGGACGCTGAGCCAGAGCCGCAGCGGTGCCATGGTCCCGGCTGCTGTGGTTGCACCGGGAGCCGCCGGGTTTATGGGCTGGAAGGGTGGGAGGGGAATTTCATCCCCCCCCCAATCCCAAGCCCATTCCAGGAGGAGCAATTTCACGCCGTCACAGGGCCCTGGGTCACCCGCCTGCACGGGGCAGCCCTGGAGCTGTGCCCTGGGGGGCTTCACCTCCACCCTCCCATCCTATCCCCAGGGACAAAGGGATGGAGCCCAAGGCTGGAGCCATCGGCACCAGAAGACCCCCCCCCCCCCCCCCCCGAGCTCTCCATCCGCTCCCATTCCATGTGCCTTGTGACAGCACGTGGCTGCTCCGCATGGGCTCCGGGCCAGCGCTGGGTATGACCTTCATTATGGCCATGGAACTCCATGATGAGCTTTTCCTGCTCCTTTAAGCAGCACACGCCTCCTGCTTCCCGTCCTTCAGCATTCCAGAGGCGAATGTCACCCCCGGTGCCCCCAGCCCCGGTCATTCACTGAGCTTGGCAGCGCCTCCAGCACACGTATATATTGGATGCAATTCCCAGCATGGGGCTCACCCCAACTTGTCAGGAAAGAAGGACACCCCCCCCCCACCCCCCATCACTTTGCATTGAACCCTCCCCATGGGTGCCCCTGAAGCCTTGGGGAGATGCTTGAGGCACCCCAGGGCGATGCCTATGGAGCGAATGGAGGCGGCCATCCCCAAGCAGTGGGGAAGGGGATGGAGGTGGGCACCAAGGCTGGGATGCAGCAGCTCCCCAAGGCCTGGGGGGAGCGTTGCTTATGGGCAGGAGCGATGCTGTGGGGCGAGGGGCCGGTGCCAGCGCGGCAGAGCCAGGGCAGCCAGCAGCAGCGCGGCGGGTCCCATCCAGCAGTGCAGCAGCCCCAGCGCCTCGCTCAGCCCCAGCACGTAGTCAAAGTGCTGGAAGGTGCTGCAGGTCTGCGGCAGGACCCGGCTGTGCAGGAGCAGCTCCATGGCCAGCGCCGCACCGTGCGGCACCCACAGCGCCAGGAACACCCAGCTCGCGGCCAGGTCCGGCACCCATTGCGCCCTCCACCGTGGGCACAGCCGCGCGGCCGTGGGCACTGCCACCGGCAGCAGCAGGAAGAGGCAGAGGCAGAGGCCGAGGTGCAGGAGGTTCACTGGGGACACGAGGTCCACGCTGCGCCGGAGGCAGCTTGGCTCCGGCACCGCCGTGGTGCCGCTGGTGAGAGCCCCTGGCGTCGCCAAGAGCAGCGCCAGGGCCCACACGGCCACGGCCAAGCGCGGCTCCGCGCATCCCAACGGCACCAGAAGTGGCCGCAGGAGCCGGAGGCCACCAGCAGCCCTTGGGCGAAGAGGCTCCAATACCAGAGGAGGTGCATGAGCCGGCACAGCGCCGTGCCCAGCCGCCAGCCCCTGCCCGATGCCCAGCGCCATGGCTGGCAGCACCGCGGCCAAGAGCCCAGTCCCCATGGCCAACTGTGACACCAGCGCCCGGCTCTGTGACCATTGGGGCCGCTTGGCCAGTGCCAACAGCAGCGCCGCGGTGCCCAGCACGGCCATGGCGCTGGTGAGAGCCAGGAACGGGGGAGCCACACGCTGGAAGACGGAGCAGTATTGGTTATGGCACGGCGCGGCCCCGTAGTCCAGAGAGGTCTCATTGCCATCATCATCAGCATCATCATAGGAGGAGAAGTTGCCCATGAGCTCCACCAGGTCCAGCAGGGAACTCCTGCTCTCCAGGAGGCTGGGGCTCTGCGGATGAGACGGGCTGGGATGGATCCCGATGTGCCCCCACTTGGTGCCACGGGAGCCGGGCAGGGACTTATCAGCGAGGGCCACGCTGCGGGGAGCCCGTCCCTGCTGCTCCTCCTCCCGCATCCAGCAAGCCGGGATAAACCCATGGAGCCGCAACGCACTCACCACCGGGATGCAGTTGCCCATGATGGGGGTCCTGGGACAGCTCCGGCTCTGGAGGGGGGCTCCACAACCCCGGCTCCGAGCGCTCTCCCGCTGGCTCCTCCCGCCGCAGGGAGGTGATGGCTGCGGGCAGGAGATAAGAGCGGCCGCACCGGGCGGGCAATTCCTGCTGCCAGGGCCCGGAGGAAGCGGGGGCCCCGCTGCCGGGAAGGCACCGGAGAGGGACGGGGAGGTTGGAGCAGGAAACGACGGCTTCTTGGCAGAACAGCTCCAGCTCATCAGGAATTGTGTGGATGGGACGTGCGGATGGCTCCGGCTGCCGGCCCGGAGCGCGCCGGGTGGCAGTGCAGGGAGGAGAGGGGATGGCGTGGAAATGTGCTGCTCGTCTCGGGATGCCCCAATGGGATCCTATGGGATCAATGTGGGGGGAAGCACAGGCTCCTGGTGCTGCAGCAGCAGCGGCAAATGTGGCTTGGAGGGAGGCTGGTGGCCACCGTGCATGGTGGGAGCATCCTCAACCACGGTGGGAGCATCCTCAACCACGGTGGGAGCATCCTCAACCACGGTGGGAGCATCCTCAACCACGGTGGGAGCATCCTCAACCACGGTGGAGCATCCTCAACCACGGTGGGAGCATCCTCAACCACGGTGGGAGCATCCCTCACCGTGGGAGCATCCTCAACCACGGTGGGAGCATCCTCAACCACGGTGGGAGCATCCTCAACCACGGTGGGAGCATCCTCAACCACGGTGGGAGCATCCTCAACCACGGTGGGAGCATCCTCAACCACGGTGGGAGCAATCCTCAACCACGGTGGGACCATCCTCAACCATGGTGGAAGCACCCTCAGCCACGGTGGGAACATCCTCAGCCACAGTGGGACCATCCCCGGAGGGCACTGGGGCTAAGAGGGGTGCTTTGGGAGCAGGAAAAGGTCTGATTTGGGGTGAGAGGGGTGCATGGGGCTGGGTCCAGACCCTGCTTTGGGTGCTGAGCTCTGTCCCACTCCCGGTGCCCCCCGGATCCCCCCATGGCGGGCGCAGGCAGAGCAGGAGGCACAGGCAGGTTCCGTGTGTGTAATCCAGATATATTTATAGGATTATTTTCCGAGATTAGCACAGGATATTAAAAGGTTATAAAGTCACATCGACGTCCCTTGGCTCCCCTTATGTACATACACGTCGAACACAGCACAACCGACACAGCCCGTCCTCTGCCCCGTCCCGCTGCCGCCCCACGGCGTCTCCAGAGCTCCCTACAAATATGGCTTTCGTGTCTATTGAGAGTTCAGTGCCGGTGGGAAGCGGCCGGAGCCGAGCTGGAGCTGCCATATCATGGGAAGCGGCCGGAGCCGAGCTGGAGCTGCCATATCCCGGCTGCATCCTCCTCTGTCCACTTGCAGCCCCGGCTCCAATGTTCTGGTGATGGGGCTGGAAGCCAATGGGTGCAGGCAACGAGGTGGCCCCGGTGGCAATAGCAGGGAGGGTGTCCCCTCCCCACGGTGACACTGGATGCTGTCACCCCCATAGGGGCATCAAGGTCCTCACCCCCTCCATGGCCCACGTCACCTCTTGGGCTTAGGACAAGGTGGACCGGCCCCTCCTGGACCCCATGTCCCATCTACAACCGGACAAGCACAGGGGGTACCCCTCACCTTGATGTGCTCACAACTGGCACCCGTCGTGACATACCCCCTATCGTGACATGGTGTGCTCACCACCACACCTCACCCTCGCCATGATCCATTCAACCACTCACAAAGTGGCTTCTCCATCACCTCGCTCCCCGCTGTGTCCCCATGGCCGTGTGCCCCGCATGGGTGACCTGATGGATGTGCCCATCACCCTCACACGCACCACAGGGCTCCATCACCCCTCGCTGCTGCTCCCTTCCATCCTCCAAAGCCCTTTGGCTCCTGCTCTCTCCACAGCAGGAAAATGGGCATCACCCAGCCCATCCATTGCTGGTGGGTCCTGCCTGTCCTGGCTCCATCCTGGACCATAAAACACCTCCAAGAGACCAAATCCCGACTGGTTGAGCCTTGGAACAGCAGCCGCAGCCTCAAAGGGGCACAAACCTCCCTGTCCTCAGCTCCCACCTTCCTGCCCTTTAGGAGCAGTTACCCCCTTGCCACCCCGAGCCCCCAGGTTGGGGCTTTCTTCACATCATCTACAACACATAGACTTGAGAGATTGAACTCCACTTGGAATCACATCCTTGTGTTTGGATTTGAAGGAATGACGTCTGTTCAAGAGCGGATGGTGGAGATCTTCAGCCAAGGACTGGGGCCACACGTTCCTATGTGCTCGGTGCTCCTGACACCCAACAAAGCCTCATCCTGTCCCCACATAGGCTGCAAACACCATCAACTCCTTCACCCCTTGAGCCATGCTGCCTCCTCTTCCAACCCTGCTCCTTCCACCATGGGCTTCCCCATGGGAATCCTCCTCCTGCCACGTGCTCGTGGGGGTCTGGATGGGAGCGATGTTCCCCATGGAGACCTGGTACCCCACGGAGACCCCTGCCCCATGGGGGAGGATGGGAGCTCTTCCTTCACCTCCAAGGCGACGTCACCACCCACCAAGGGTTCCCAAAGGATTCTCCTCCTCCAGCCACCCAAAATCAAAGGGGCACCCAACCAATGGGCAGCTCCCCTTGTGTCTAGACCAAGAGATGCTGCGATCCTGGGAAGCTGGAGAGCCTCATCCCAAGGGAGAGCGCCAAGACCTGGCTCCTTGATGCTGGAGCCCATGAGCCCATGACCTGGGGATCAAGAGGAGGGCCAGGAAAGCTGCTTTGCCTTGGAAGAGGCAGTGAAGAGGAAGGAGGAGGTTGGACACCCCCCCCCAACCACCTCACAGACCCCTTGGGACACTAAACCGGGTGTTTCGTTTGGAGCCAGGAGGGAAACGGCCTTTTCCCAGCTCCCATCCACCCGGGAAGGGGGACAGGGTGGGAAGGGGATGCTCCAGGATTGGAGCCCCTTCTCCTCA